CCCACAAAGGATGTGTAAACCAAAGAAATATGAACGGTGTCTGATACTCTGTTCTCAAGAAATAATGGGACCAACTGTGGCCTGGCCAGCATTTTGGGGAGAGGGTTGGGAATTAAATGAGTGTTGTGTCTCTGCCATGAGCAAATCACAGTCTCCTAAAGTGAGTTTGAAGGTGCCTTCTCTACTGGAAAGAGACATCTCCCCTTACTCTGCCCTCCGGAGAGCCAAGGAAATAGCCAGTCTTCAAGTAGCAGTAGTTGAATAGTATGTAGCTAACGGGTTGGCTCTTAATACTGGGGAAGGTCTTTTTAGGCTCCATGTGTCCTCTGGTAATTTCCATCGTGGTTCTGGAAACACACCCTTCTCCTGCGTCATCTGCACAGGTCAGTAGAGATGATAAGCGTGACTTCGTGGTGGGTACTGAGTCTGGAAGGGGCTATGCTCAAGCTGTGCAGTAGCTGAGGAAGAGATTTCTTGGCTTTCCTCCCGGTACCTCCTGTATCCCAAGCAGTTGAATGGTTCAGGGCAGAGAAAAATCGACGATTTTATATTTTTGTGTGTAGAAGAATCAAGTGCAGTTTTTGAAAGGAGTTTGTAGCAGAGCATGGGAAAGGCTTTGGGCTGTATCACAGCTTTCAGATCTTCCGGGAACAGAGCTCATCCCTCCTTCTGTCTCGAGAAAGGCCATTCCCCTTCTTCCGTAGTTAGTGTTGAAGTGATGACAGACAGGAGAAGGTGGGTTTTAAGGAGAAGTAGGAACTGATGACCCCTTAATTAATGTATGGAGAACAACCAGATGCTGTTTCCTAAATGCACAATTGTTGGCAGAAAGTAAGAAAAACAGGGTAAGACAAACAACACGCATTATTGTTTGTTTGGTGAGTGAGATATGTCACTGTCACCCCCACTGGAGGTGCCTTTGGAGCATCATTGCACCTGGCTTACCTCATAGACGTTATGGTTGAGAGCGTGTGGCTTCATGAGTGTTTGGGTATAAGCTGTAGGGTCTGTTGTTGAAAGTAGGTCCCAGAGCATTATCTGGTGCCTTTCATTATCTAAGGCTTTGCCTGTGTGAGGAGCTTCTGCCTGGGACAGCTATCCTGATGTGCAGAGCGCAGCTCTGTCTTCCACTGGCGTCTGAAGAACGTCCATGAGTGTCACCTCCTGCACAATGTCACTGATGTTTGTGCCATGAAGTATTTCTTAGCAAATGCTGCTGCAGTCTGGGACTCGACTGCCTTCCAGATCGTTCTCCAGTATAAATCACCCATTTGGCTTTGACCGAGAAAGCTCTGCATGTTACTTATCTGTCCCTGAGAAATGGGCTCCCGCCTTACCGAGGGTCTGCTGCCGATCATGCAGAAATTGCGTGGGGAGGGGGCTGGTGGGGGTGTTGTCCTCTGTAGGGCTGCTTGGACTTATTTGTGCTCTTGGTGCAGGAAACACGAATGTGTTAACTCTTGGCCTCCCGAGCTTCGGGAAGTGAGCGTGAGGGGCAGGGGCTGAGAATAGGTGGTTTGTGCCCGCTCCAACTAGTCTGTTTATATCTGTCCGTCTCACGTAATTCTCTGGCACCAATCACCTTGGTAGCTAAGCATGTTTCTCAGATGACCATGGCTTTTTTTTTCGTCTTCTCCTCTTTTTAGTAGTCTTTTCTCCTTCCTTTTAAATTGGTCTTTAATAAAGTTGAGAATTCTTGCACAGGGTTTTATAAACATGTGTTATTAAATTTTAAATCTGTTTTGAAAGTGCCTCTATCCTACTCCCTCCTAGTAAAGTGACCTTTTTAAATGGAGGGAAGTGGGTTTAGATGACAGTCATGATAAATGCGGTCATGTTCACTCAATAAAATAAGGCCCAGTGCATTTGAGGATAAATCAGTGAAATGTACAGCCCCACCTGTCTGTCTCCATCATTCATTTCCACTGTCACTTTCACAGTGGCTGATGGATCACAGTTGCTGTAAAATTAGACAGCCTTTAATCTCATTTCATCCTGATTAGCTTCTCCTTACCCTTTCCCTCTAACTCACTGACTGACACGCTAAAAACTCACACCGGGCTGTGTTTGAGCGTGGCGTACAAACTTCTCTTCAAATACCCTTTTTGCGGGGCAGGCAGGTGTTCCACTGAGTTGAAATCGAAAAATGAGAAGATGGGATTTTCACATTATTAAAGCAAAACAGCAGACAAAGGCTCATGTAAAATTAATGAAAGCAACAGTCTGGCCAGACTCTGTGATGGGCCAAATTCTTCCTGTTACACCTCAGCAAGCTCAGTGAGTTTGATTGAGCAGATTGTTCCTACTAGAGGCTGAATTTAGCATCCTGATTGCCCTGTAATTTTAACTATATCTCTGAAAAGTCAGGTCCTATATGGGTGTGTGTTCATAAGGAATTACAGTTTACAGCACAAGTTTTCTGGTGCTTTCAAGGGGCATTTTATAGCAGTAAAAACTAAAGTTCATTCCCATAGTTTTGATTCCTGCATATAACTCATGAATCTCAGGGATCCTAAAAATGGTCAGGGAGAAAGACTGTGATGCCAGAGATTTCACGATTTCAGTGTCCAAACTCCCTTCCTCTTAGATGTCCACAGTCTTGCTCCATCCTCCCTGTTTTCTCCAACTCCCTCCAGCCCCATGGGCAGATTCATGAACCCGGGAGCAGAGTTTTCCCCAAAGCTCTGTGAGAAACAAAGGTCATACTAAAGGTCTGCAGTGTTTTACTGCAGTCACCTTTCCCTTCTGAGGCCCAAATACTACCCTCTCTAAGGCAAGCTTCCCTTCAGCTTTCCCATGAGTTATGGATAGTAGTTCAGGTCATTTGGGCCCAGTTCCCTGTCAGTGGGAATGTTGCCATCAGGTTAAGTAGGAACTAGGATTAAGCCCTTAGTTTTCAAGGTTTAATTATCATCATAAGTGTGAGAGTCTTATTGCATAGTTTATATGCATGGGAACAGCAGAAAAGCTTAAAATACAATTTCTTCCTCTACTGGCCCTGTTTGTGTCAATATGGAGGATAAATAAACAAAAGTGTTTGCAAAAATGAAAACACAACATGTGAAAACGATGCATGTGCACTGCCTGCAGACGGTTCTTTTGACAAATGCTAGGTCCCTCTGGACTGACCAATGCAAGAGCCTGGTTGAGGGTACAACCACTGGCTTTGACCTGGTTGGAAACCGTAACAGAGCATTGGATCAGGCAAGAATTGAAGCCCCTGCAGACTGATCCTGGGGAGTCTCTTCCTGAGACGAGGGGTCCCAAAAAGCATCAAAGAAAGACAGCAGATTTCTCGTGGGAGACCCAAATTCCTTCTGTAGTAGAGGCATCCACAAAATCAAGGGAAGTACAGGGCTTTTGAGAGAGAAGATTTTAAAATAGGAAAACGTCTGAGAATATAGAATGAGAGAAATACGACACGAGTGCTAAGAAGATAACAAAAATCGTTTTCATTATAGATTCCTATAGGAATCTATAGGTGGTATAAAATCTTAGGCAATGCCTAGTATAAGATTACTTCCCAGTTATATAAAGTGTACTAGTAACAAATAACCTTAATTAATGAACTTTCCTTGTACCTGGCTTTCCAATTTAAGAATTGTTTCACTTACCTGACTTGTAAGAGCACAAACTATGAAAATGATATTCGACCTTTACTAGAAACTAAAAACGTACCTTACTTATTCATCATTGCCTTGGCAAAAACTTCAGTAAGAAGCTTAAATGAGTCCACTTGATCTTTAAGAAAATGTGTCCTAAATAACAAAGCTGCTCCTGTTTCTTCTTATTATTTGCATACACTATACTGCACAATTGCATTCTGAGAAAAATAAAAGATAATAAAACAAATGAAATGAGAGATATATCACCCAAAATAATCCAAGTGTGAGATAGTCTGCCTTTTTTTTTTTTTTTTTTTTTGGCATTGGCAAAAGAGCACAAAGTAAGAGCTGGCCCTGAGTCATATTGATTTCCCACTGCACTGGTTTTCTAAGTGCTCTGTTGATCCGTGTCAAGCAATAAGTTCCCTGCCTGTACATGCACATCACCTCCCCATTTGTCCTCACCTAGATTTAAGGTGCCCATATGATGAGCTGAACAAGGACATCATTTTTCCTACTGGTGTCACTGGGCCAAACCTACTCTGTGTGGTATGATGACTAATGCTGTGTAAGGGTACGTTTACCATATAGTATCATGGCAGTGCTGGATAGCACACCACACTAATATGTACATACTGTGTGCGTGTAAGCCTTGATTTCTGTGTCTTACTACTTGCAGTAGAAAATGTAAATTTAAAAAAAATCGATCATTGCAACTGTAGTTGGTCCGCAGTTATCCTGACATCTCCAAAAAAAGGGGATACTGCAAACCTAATGCCACAGTTTTGATCTTCGTTAATAAAGGGCTTCCTGATTAGATGAATAGAAAATGTGTGGTTGTGCTGCTAATGACATTGTACAGGAAATTAAGCGTATACATTTGGAAAAGGCATTAAATCAGCAGGACCTTAATTTAAAAACTTAAAACTGTATGGAAATGCAGCTTGTTCATTGCTGTGTAATAGAAAGCTACTGAACACACTGACTCTTCTTGTGGAAACATTACCAGCACAACAAAGCTGGGCTGAGGTTTTTTTAACGTTTCCTAGCATACTAGGATTCCTAGCAGCTGCTTATATTTTTCAGGCAACTTCACCCCTTTTACAAGTTGTTTTTAGAGCAGCATATATGGCAGTTGGGCAGGTGGGGGGGGGGGGGGGGGGGGG